GCGTGCACCGTGCCCCGGGCGGGGGGGCGGATGTGCAGGGGCTCGGCGCTGAACTTGGACGCCGGCTCTGCCTAGAGGGCGCAAACACTCGTCCCGCGTCCAAAAGTCTTCCGAAGGGCGCCAAAAGTTGCTGGAGATAATAGCGCTAACCGCAAAGCGCCGGCAGCCGGGCTGCGGCAGCCACCGGGGGGACACGATCCTGCCCGCCGGGGGCCGGGCAGGATCGGGCAGCGCGCGCTGGAGGGGGCCCCCGGGCTGGGGCTGGGATTTAAAAGACGCGAAGAAAGAGACACCCCCCCCCCCCATACGCGCACGGAGACAGACGTGCAGCACGCGCGCACGCCAAGGCGAGATGTACACACGCACACCCACATACACACCGATGGATTCGCGCACACCCACACGCATGCACACGCACGTGCTCATGGACATGGACACGGGCTTGGAGCCGGGTCTGCCCCCCCTGCAGCCCCCGCTTCTCGCCCAACTTCTGCCGAGAAAACCCGTCGGGGGCGCAGAGAGCAGCCGCGGGGCCGGGGCCGGGCACTGGCAGGTCCAGGCCGCAGCGCCCGGTCCCGGCGGGGCAGAGCCGAGCTGCGCCGAGCCCCGGCGACCCTCACCTGCCCTTGGAGGTGTCCCAGCCCGCCCAGGCGGGAGGGGACCGGCCTCTGGTGGCAGGGTGCTGGTGGTCCAAGGGGGTGGGCAGACCACGTCCTGGGGGTACATGCCATCTCTCCTCTCACACCAACTATTTATAAAAGAGATCGCATTTACCCACAGAGGCTTGTCGGGTGGTAGGAGCCCGCGAGCCCGGGGCAGAGCCGGGCATCCCTCAGGCCATGGACACCCGTCTCGTGAAGTCTGTGGCCGCTTCCCTCCCCCGACACTGTCCCCGGGCGGGCGGGCAGCCGGGCCCCGCGTGCGGCGCGTCGTGTGGCAGCTTTGGGGGGTTTTATGAATGGCCCCGGGCGCGCGCTCGTGGCAGTGTGTGTGTGTGCGTGTGCGCACGGGGGGGGGGGGGGGGCAGGGGGCCGGGCCCTGGACACTTTCCACCCCCCCCCGAAAACCCCGCCCC